TCCTGACTGATGGCAGCCCATTCTTGCATAATCAATGCTTTGAGTTTGTCAAAATGTGTGGGTTTTTGTTTGTCCACCTCTTGAGGATCGACCACAAGTTCTCAATGGGATTAAGGTCTGGGGAGTTTCCTGGCCATGGACCCAAAATGTCGATGTTTTGTTCCCCAAGCCAATTAGTTATCACTTTTGCCTTATGGCAAGGTGCTCCATCATGCTGGAAAAGGCATTGGTCATCAACAAACTATTCTTGGATGGTTGGGAGTAGTTGCTCTCGGAGGATGTGTTGGTACCATTCTTTATTCATGACTGTGTTCTTAGGTAAAATTGTGAGTGAGCCCAGTCCCCTTGACTGAGAAGCAACCCCACACATGAATGGTCTCAGGATGCTTTACTGTTGGTATGACACAGGACTGATGGTAGCGCTCACCTTGTCTTCTCCGGACAAGGTGTTTTCCGGATGCCCCAAACAATCGGAAAGGGGATTCATCAGAGAAAATGACTTTACCCCAGTCCTCAGCAGTCCAATCCCTGTACCTTTTGCAGAATATCAGTCTGTCCCTGATGTGGCTTCTTTGCTGCCCTTCTTGACACCAGGCCATCCTCCAAAAGTCTTCACCTCACTGTGCGTGCAGATGCACTCACACCTGCCTGCTGCCATTCCTGAGCAAGCTCTGCACTGGTGGTGCTCCGATCCCGCAGCTGAATCAACTTTAGGAGACGGTCCTGGCGCATGCTGGACTTTCTTGGGCACCCTGACGCCTTCTTCACAACAATTGAACCTATAATAATAATAATAATATGCCATTTAGCAGAAGCTTTTATCCAAAGCGACTTACAGTCATGACCTCTCTCCTTGAAGTTCTTGATGATCCGATAAATGGTTGATTTAGGTGCAATCTTACTAGCAGCAATATCCTTGCCTGTGAAACCCTTTTTGTGCAAAGCAATGATGACAGTACATGTTTCCTTGCAGGTAACCATGGTTAACAGAGGAAGAACAATGATTTCAAGCACCACCCTCCTTTTAAAGCTTCCAGTCTGTTATTCTAACTCAATCAGCATGACAGAGTGATCTCCAGCCTTGTCCTCGTCAACACTCTCACCTGTGTTAAAAAGAGAATCACTGACATGATGGCAGCTGGTCCTTTTGTGGCAGGGCTGAAATGCAGTGGAAATGTTTTTTTGGGATTAAGTTCATTTTCATGGCAAAGAGGGACTTCGCAATTATTTGCAATTCATCTGATCACTCTTCATGACATTCTGTAGTATATGCAAATTGCCATCATCAAAACTGAGGCAGCAGGCTTTGTGAAAATTAGTATATGTGTCATTTTCAAAACTTTTGACCACGACTGATGAGGATTTTTTATTTATTTAATAAATTTTATAATAAGGCTGTAACATAACAAAATGTGGAAAAAGTGCTGGAGTACAGAGCCAAAACAACAAAAAATGTGTCACTGTCCCCAGCTCTCTGTATATGTAATATTCTGTGACAATGTATATCCACTTATTTATCCAATATTTGTGCAGTATTTCCCAGCAGTAGAGCTTATCACATTCCTCCACAATATGCAACCCTGCAAGAAAGTGACAATGGCTTGCACAATGGGATTGTGCTTCAACGTTTTTGAATCATTTTCCTGTATTCATACATTCCTGTCAAACATTATTCAGTGCCTCCTGACATAGTTAATGTGTATATACATACACTGAGTGTACAAAACATTAAGAACACCTACTCTTTCCATGACAGACTGACCAGGTGAATCCAGGTGAAAGCTATGATCCCTTATTTATGACACCTGTTAATTCAGTGTAAATTAAGAGGAGAAAGCTTAAAGAATAATTTTTAAGCCTTGAGATAATTGAGACATGGATTGTGTATGTGTGCCATTCAGAGGGTGAATGGGCAAGACAAAATATGTAAGTGCCTTTGAACTGAGCATGGTAGTAGGTGCCAGGCACTGCAACGCTGCTGAGTTTTTCACGGTCAACAGTGTCCCGTGTGTATCAAGAATTGTCCACCTCCCAAAGGACATCCAGCCAACATGACAAGACTGTGGGAAGCATTGATTTAGGCTCGGGTGATGACAAGACTCGGGTCTCCCGAGTGGCGCAGTGGTCTAAGGCACTGCATCGCAGTGCTAGCTGTGCCACTAGAGATCCTGGTTCAAATCCAGGCTCTGTCGTAGCCGGCCGCGACCGGGAGACCCATGGGGCGGCGCACAATTGGCCCAGGGTAGGGGAGGGAATGGCCGGTAGGGATGTAGCTCAGTTGGTAGAGCATGGCGTTTGCAACGCCAGGGTTGTGGGTTCGATTCCCATGGGGGGGGCAGTATAAAAAATGATGAATGCACTAACTGTAAGTCGCTCTGGATAAGAGCATCTGCCAAATGACTAAAAATAAAATAAAATAAAAAAGCATTGGAGCCAACATGGGCCAGCATCCCTGTGGAATGCTTTTGACACCTTGTAGAGTCCATGCCCCAATGAATTGAGGCAGTTCTGAGGGCAAAGGGGGGGTGCAACTCAATATTAGGAAGGAGTTCTTAATGTTTTGTACACTCAGTGTCTATTTACCTCTGCACATACCTCAGATGTCTAGTTCTGCTCTACCACTCCTCACTACACACATTGTCCACTCTGTCATTTCTGGCAGGAGTTGCTGTCTGCGAGCCCCTTGTCTGCCTGCTAAGCTATTTTCCTTATAAAAGATTGACACAGCTTGCAACCAATTTGAAACACCTTTTAGCTATGGCTGCAGAATACAATAGACACTATTCTGTGTTGGGGTTTTATACCTCTTGAGATTAATTCTTACCCGATGAAGTTGTGGCTAAGATAAAAGACTAGCATCAGGCACCACAATAATAAAGTTCGAATGTGAACATGTTAACTGCAGTTATGAGGCAAAATATTTGCAGGGTTGCTATGCAAGGAGATGTCATAGCTTAGCTATGTCAAAGTGAGGCGAGTTGATGACTTGCACATTTTGATAGCCGTGCAAATAATTGGCTCAAAACACTAAGGTAGTCTTTGACTCAGTTCCATCACATTTATTTTGGTTGTTTTGTCTGTCTTTGCTTTTTATTACAAATACAATTGTGTTGTGTGGTGTGGTGGTGCTGTTAGAGTTACAAATATAAGGAAACAGATGGATAGTGCTGGTCGTTTAATTACAAACAATATCACTCAAAACAGGTCTTCAGAATTTCACTTTTGGGCCAATGTGGGCATTGTTCTACCACTGACAATTTTCACCACATTTATATTTGGAAATAACCCGCTGCGCTGCCATATCTACCATCCCATAATAGATGATAGCTTCTGCTACACCTGAACACTTTGAACTTCGGAGGAAAAACTAAGTCTACCCAACGACCAGACTCTTGGTTCCACAGAGAATTCATGCCAGTCCAAAGTTATGGTGGCCCTTTTAAGTGCTTTGTTCCCCAATGCCTTTATTCAGGGCTCTCATCTCCTTCACAAAGCTTTATTCACTACATGTCATCTGTCTCTTAAGGAGTGCTTGGCTGCCGCTTCTGAGGCCATGCCTACAGAGTGCCGTTAATTGGAGGAGTGTAGCACCATCGACATTCACAAGCTGTTAATGGTTTCCATTCCACACTTGTATCCACTGCCAAGACCAGGCAACAGTAACAGGATTCACATAGCATGCTTCTACTATGAAGCAAAATCTCCATTGTTCTCATAGAAAAGCAATGGCAAGATGTTTTGCCTTGCATGATCTCCCGAGACAATTCTGACGTGCTCTTGATGTTCTTGTTGGTAGTTATGATAATTATTGTTTTATTAATCGAACCGCATGACCAGTGCATTTTGATTAATATTCCTGTCATATTTGACTTTGCCCACTTGCCTAAGAACCGCCATTCACAGTAAATCTCCATATTTTTTTATTAAATGTGAAGTTGTTCATACAAGACATCACAGACATCAACAGATCACTAAACCACTAGGCATAAAAACATTTGCACGTTAAACACATGGCCGAGGCACCTCTGCCTCGGCCATGTTGCTAAACTCTGTAGCCTTCCTCTCTAATCTTATCATGCAGTGGCAGCACCAAATTCTGAGGGAGTGCTGACTGTAATTTCAGAGTGTATTACATGGTATTACGTTGTCAGTGAATCAGAACAGACGTTCCCGTATCACTTTGATTATTCAATGTGACATTGCCAATCCTGTGGTGAGTCCTTTTCACTGATTCATTCTGTATCTCTTTACTCTGTCTGAGCTGAAAACTGTATTTTCCCCATCAAATCTAATCCCTGTTTCTCCTCTCTTATGACTCAGCTCAAGATTTATTGATTGTTTGTCATGTACGCATTAGACATTTCACATAGGATTATACGTGACATAATGCTTTTTTTTTTGTGTGTCAAAGCTTTTGATAGGCCTACACTGTGATAATAAAGGGAGTTTGAAACCATTAGTAATCAATGTACTAAATAACGTACACATTTTAGTGCTGATGTGTCCATATTATTAGTGCTTGCTTGCTGGTGTCACAGTGATGCATTCAACTTGTCAATCACACAGGATTAGGTCTGTATTGCCACATAAAGCTACCAGCAAGCTGACATGTCAGACAGAATGAGCAGAGACTATGGTTGCATCCCATATTACACCCTATTCCCTATATAGTGCACTACTTTTTAACAGAGGCCTATGGACCTTGGTCAAAAGTAGTGCACAATATAGAGAATAGGGTGTAATATGGGATTTAGCCAGAGTATCACAGACCAGAAAGGTCTCTGGAGGATTAAAGTCTCATGTGGGGATACCAATACCCCAGGTATCAATCTACTGCACCGTTCTCTGTCTTAGGTAGAGATATCAGTCAGAGAAAACAAACATTGCTGCCGCCCATAGGAACTGACGGGAGTCTTAGCTTGAATGTTTTTGTTTCTGTAGTTATTTCTGGATGAAAATCTAGCTGAGAGAAGAGCAGTGGAATCTATGGAGATGCCAAAATGAATGGAGCTTTGATGTTCGGTTTTGTAATGCACTGTAGCACAATCACTCATTATGTAGAGCTTATGTTACTTTTTATGGGGGTTTTGTTGGTAATACCTGTATAACTCTGTTTAAACCTCTGATTCAATGCAGTTATTTTTGTATGGGGCTCTCTAAAAGTATCCATTAAATTATGGTTGATTCAATTAAAACCATGAGGCTGAAGTCTATGAAACTTTTTCCCCATCTTCCTTTGTGCCGGTTTTCTTTACTGTGTTTCGAAGCCCGAGGTAACTCCATCTCCATCTCTGCAGAGCGCAGATGCATTGTCTGAGGCTGTGGCTAGCCTCAGCACCGTGGAGGAGGTCATGAAGTACCTGGAACCTGAGAGATGGCTGCTTGACATGGAAGACCTATACAAGCCCACGTGGCACATCCTGGGAAAGTCATTCCTCCACAACAAGAAATCCAGAGGTACAGTGACTACCGCTTCTCAAACGGCTAACAACTGGGGTTCTAGTGATAGGAATTGCAGTGGAAGAAAGGTCTGTCATGTTGAGATGGAGGGAAAAACAGATATACAGCTGCAGTTGAGCATAAAACTGTCTGTGGAAGGTTATCTTGAAAATATATCTTGGCAATTTAACCTCAGCTTAGCAATTGATGCCCCTTCTTTGTAATTTAATAAAAGGTATCTAATCATTTTAGGTTGACGTGGTGAGCTTAATCTCTTTGTTGAACAGGAGTGGATCTCAACCTGTTGAGAGAAGAGGTGAGACTGTACAGCTGCACGCCGCGCAACTTCTCTGTCTCCCTGCGCGAGGAGCTCAAGAGGACGGACGCCATCTTCTGGCCTAGCTGCCTCCTGGTGAAGCGCTGCGGGGGCAACTGTGCCTGCTGCGTGCATCGCTGCTTTGACTGCCAGTGTGTGCCTACCCGGGTCATCAAGAAGTACCATGAGGTAAAAGTGTGGCAACTTTCCCAATTTTCTGAGATTTTAATATTCCTGGAATCAGGAGAGAATAAACTGGAAATCCAGGAATCTTCTAACCAGGATTTCTGGAAAACCTGGGAATTTTGGGAAAGTTATCAGAAGTTAACTTTGTAACTCTAGACAAGGGTCATAATGTGCTACTTATACTTGAACTTAATATTTTTTCTGAAAGATCAGCATAATAAATGCAAGCTAATTTATCATAACAGAATTACATCCTGTTATTTGGTGATTGAAATGTGTCATTAGCTAGGTTTCCATTCAATTGGCGACAGATCTTCATGCAAATATTCTAAAATCCACATAAAGAAAATATGTGAATTTTCCATTGGCGTTTACACCAAACAGACTTATTGCGGATAAAATCATCAATGGGTGATGACGTAGTGCACACAAAATGTTCAATGTGTTTCCATCGCATTTTCAACTCTACCGATAGTTTTGTCACAAAAACGGTTGAGTTAAATAACAAATGTGCCTACTCTGCGCTCTAGCCAACAGCTCGCAGATACAATGCAGGTAGGCTGTGCAGGTAGGCTAGTCTACATTATGAGATTATTATGGATAAGAGCAAGAATTTTTTTATTTGTAAAACAGCAGTCTAGCATCAATCATATCATGTCACCAGAATAATACTCTCGATATTTATTGGAAAGGATGCATCAAGCATCATGTGCACTTTCACCATCCTGTGAAGTTCATCTAAACGTATTGCATCTGTAGCCTAATAAACTGCATGGTTTCCTGAGTCATAGTGGGAGGACCACACAACATATCATCACGTGATATCACACACGTGATATGATGGTCATTATATATTTTTTTGCACATAAAGGCGTTTCCACCACCATTTCTCGCATAATATATTTTACCGACACAAAAAGATGCCACCATGTCGAAATAACAAATTATCTGTCTGCATTTATGAAACTACCTGTTTCCAGCATTTTTCTTTAATATGGTATGACTTTACTCGCATAAAAACTGTGGATGAAAATGTGGTTAGTGGTGTAAAACAAATGTATCATGAAGATCTTTCTGCTATGTATTTTAGCTAATTTAACCATTTGATGTGTAAATGTGTTTGATGTTGTTTTGGTGGAGGGCGTGTTCCAAACTCTCAATTCGCGCTCTGGCTCACCGCTCTCTGTAGGTTCTCCTGCTGAAGCACCGAAGCGGGGGCCGAGGCCTGCAGAAGTCCATGAGCGATGTGCCCTTGGAACACCACGAGGAGTGTGCCTGTGTTTGCAAAGACGACTGGGACTGATCTCAAACCTGTGTACCGGTGCCACTGGCATCCCAGGAGACACTTGAAACTGCACGCGTCTTCCAGCGTCTCCCAGGCAAACCATCTCCATTGAGAGTGAGGAGCGAATGAGATTGCTTTGCTTATCCTGTTCTCCTCTTGCTAATTGGACGAGAGTAAAAACTGACTGGAACTACTTCATTTGTGGATGGATCTGGCCGCTGTGGAGGACCTGTAGCTGACTTTGAGTGCATTGAATAGACAGGAAATGGATAGACTGCACTTGAATGATGGACCTATCTTATTCATTCTTCACTCTCTGAAGGTTCTCTCTCCCTTTGCTTCTCAGAGATCGGAATTGGTGTTAAGGGACATCATTGTCTGTTTAGCGTAATTTTTTTGTGCCTTTTTTTGTGCCAAAACCTTTAAGGGGCCTTGTTGAAATGCGACACATGGGGCCTCCCGAGTGGCGCAGTGGTCTAAGCTGTGCCACTAGAGATCCTGGTTCGGGTCCAGGCTCTGTCGAAGCCGGCCGCAACCGGGAGACCAATGGGGCGGCGCACAATTGGCCCAGCGTCGTCCAGGTTAGGGGAGGGTTTGGCCGGCAGGGGTATTCTTGTCCCATCGCGCACTAGCAACTCCTGTGGAGGGCCGGGCGCAGTGCACGCTGACACGGTCACCAGGTGTGCAGTGTTTCCTCCAACACATTGGTACGGCTGGCTTCTGGGTTAAGCGGGTGTTGTGTCAAGAAGCAATGCGGCTCAGCTGGGTTGTGTTTTGGAGGACACACGGCTCTCGACCTTCGCCTCTCCCGAGTCCGTACAGGAGGTGCAGCGATGGGACAAGACTGTAACTACCAATTGGAAACCACAAAAAAAAGGGTACAAATAATAATAATACAAAAAAACTAGAAATTCAACAGACGTGGCCAGAGAGTATCTCCGAAAATGGGCTCCTTCTTCAAGTACTTTTCTGTATATAAGTGAGCTGCCTTCAGTCCAAAAAATAAGAAAATAATGCCCCCCTTCTCCCATCTATTAGATCTTTGGAGTGACATTGTGGTAATAATGTTGACTGTCTTACTGATGCAAACTATATTATGTGTAAATATTTCATTTTCATGGTTTTTCTGTACTGTCATATGTTTCTACCAAAGATACTTGTATTCAGTGAGGAGATAAAGTTGCACACTTAAACCAAGTACAGTGAGGGAAAAAAGTATTTGATCCCCTGCTGATTTTGTACGTTTGCCCACTGACAAAGAAATGATCAGTCTATAATTTTAATGGTAAGTTTATTTGAACAGTGAGAGACAGAATAACAACAACAAAATGCAGAAAAACGCATGTCAAAAATCTCAGCTTGTTACCTTTATAAAAGACACCTGTCCACAGAAGCAATCAATCAATCAGATTCCAAACTCTCCACCATGGCCAAGACCAAAGAGCTCTCCAAGGATGTCAGGGACAAGATTGTAGACCTACACAAGGCTGGAATGGGCTACAAGACCATCACCAAGCAGCTTGGTGAGAAGGTGAAAACAGTTGGTGCGATTATTCGCAAATGGAAGAAACACAAAAGAACTGTCAATCTCCCTCGTTCCTGGGGCTCCATGCAAGATCTCACCTCGTAGCGTTGCAATGATCATGAGAACGGTGAGGAATCAGCCCAGAACTACACGGGAAGATCTTGTCAATGATCTCAAGGCAGCGTGGACCATAGTCACCGAGAAAACAATTGGTAACACACTACGCCGTGAAGGACTGACATCCTGCAGCGCCCGCAAGGTCCCCCTGCTCATGAAAGCACATATACAGGCCCATCTGAAGTTTGCCAATGAACGTTTGAATGATTCAGAGGAGAACTGGGTGAAAGTGTTGTGGTCAGATGAGACCAAAATCGAGCTCTTTGGCATCAACTCAGCTCGCCGTGTTTGGAGGAGGAGGAATGCTGCCTATGACCCCAAGAACACCATCCCCACCGTCAAATACGGAGGTGGAAACATTATGCTTTGGGGGTGTTTTTCTGCTAAGGGGACAGGACAACTTCACTGCATCAAAGGGACGATGGACGGGGCCATGTACTGTCAAATCTTGGGTGAGAACCTCCTTCCCTCAGCCAGGGCATTGAAAATGTGTCGTGGATGGGTATTCCAGCATGACAATGACCCAAAACCCACGGCCAAGGCAACAAAGGAGTGGCTCAAGTAGAAGCACATTAAGGTCCTGGAGTGGCCTAGCCAGTCTCCAGACCTTAATCCCATAGAAAATCTGTGGAGGGAGCTGAAGGTTCGAGTTGTCAAACGTCAGCCTCGAAACCTTAATGACTTGGAGAAGATCTGCAAAGAGGAGTGGGACAGAATCCCTCCTGAGATGTGTGCAAACCTGGTGGCCAACTACAAGAAACGTCTGACTTCTGTGATTGCCAACAAGGGTTTTGCCACCAAGTACTAAATCATGTTTTGCAAAGGGGTCAAATACTTATTTCCCACATTAAAATGCAAATACATTTTTTGACATGCATTTTTTTTGATTATTTTGTTGTTATTCTGTCTCTCACTGTTCAAATAAACCTACCAATAAAATTTAGACTGATCATGTCTTTGTCAGTGGGCAAACGTACAAAATCAGCAAGGGATCAAATACTTTTTTCCCTCACTGTACGTATTGTTTTGTTGCGTTTCAACGTACATACCGTTGTAGCAAAGGTGTAAAATCTGCTTGCTTTAGAACTTCATATAACCCCAACTAGTGCGTTGAACAGTAGATTCGTGGATATTAGATATTTATTTGTTCAATGAAAGGGAAGTTATTGTCCCAAATGCTTTTTTTGTATGCTGAAATTGTAGCTTCTCTGTCATTTGTACAGTAGTTGAGTGTTCATCTTCAATATTATTCATTTCTATGTCCGCGCCATGTCAAATATGGATGTGTTCTCTTCTCTGCATACCAAAGTTTTTTAACATGACCTTTTATGATGTATTTTGTTGTATGTATTCGTCAGTAGAAATAAATCAGTCAATGTATTACTGGAGATAGGTACTTGTATTTTGACATAGGCCCCTGCAATATAAAGACTTTCATTTGGTCTCACGAGATAAAGCATTGCTTCTGTTTCTCATTGTTATTGTAATAGTCTAAATTAATATTATTAGGGAATATTGACTGAGTAAATTACATTTGGTGGCATATCAAAGTCGTCTAACAGAATACGATTATGGTCATAGATCCTTAGCATACATGCCTACACTCTTAGAAAAAAAGGGTTCCAAATGGGTACTTCAGCTGTCCCCATAGGAGAACCATTTTTGGTTCCAAGTAAAACCCTTTTGGGTTCCATGTAGAACCCTGTGCGGAAATGGTTCTACATGGAACCCAAAATGGTTCTCTTGGAACCAAAAGGTTTTTTTCAAAGGGTCTCCTATGAGGACTGCCAAAGAATCATTTTAGGTTCTAGATAGCACCTTTTAAGTAGTCCTGTTTTGACATCTTATACACTTCATGGACAAAGTATCATAGGAGGTAATGACAATGCATTTCATCAACAGTGGGTTCTGTCAATGTGAAAAACACACCACTGTCAGATATCAGTGTAAATAGCTGTTTTATGCTCCAGTAATCTGGGAACTCTACTGATGTCAATCAATTAATGACGTCGGAAAATAATCAAACAATTTAATTCATAGTTGTTGTATAATCAAGGAATGGCTAAGGTAATGGCTGATTGGATTTCCATTGTGCCTATTTTATTGCCAAAATAATTAAAATAACCTCTCCCCACATTCATTAAATAAATAGAAAAGGGCAAGACCATTAAAATGGTGGAACTGTGTTAAAGCTGTCAAATCCACAAGTCGATTAGGACATCTACATTGTGCATGACACAAGTAATTTTTCCAACAATTGTTTCCAGACATATTATTTCATTTATAATTCACTGTATCACAATTCCAGTGGGTCAGAGTTTACATACACTAAGTTGACTGTGCCTTTAAATAGCTTGGAAAATTCCAGAACATAATGTCATGGCTTTAGAAGCTTCTGATAGGCTAATTGACATAATCTGAGTCAATTGCAGGTGTACCTGTGGCTTATGTCAAGGCCTACCTTCAAACACAGTGCCTCTTTGCTTGACATCATGGGCAAATCAAAAGAAATCAGCCAAGACCTCAGAAAAAAAATTGTAGACCACAAATCTGGTTCATCCGTCCTGGTTTCCAAACGCCTGAAGGTACCACGTTCATCTGTACAAACAATAATACGCAAGTATAAACACAATGGGACCACGCAGCCGTCATACCGCTCAAGAAGGAGACGCGTTCTGTCTCCTAGAGGTGAACGTACTTTGGTGCGGAAAGTGCAAATCAATCCCAGAACAACAGCAAAGGACCTTGTGAAGATGCTGGAGGAAACAGGTACAAAAGTATCTATATCCACAGTAAAACGAGTCCTATATCGACATAACCTGAAAGGCCGCTCAGCAAGGAAGAAGCCACTGCTCACAAACCGCCTTAAAAAAGCCAGACCACGGTTTGCAACTGCACATGGGGACAAAGATCGTACTTTTTGGAGAAATGTCCTCTAGTCTGATGAAACAAAAATAGAACTGTTTGGCCATAATGACCATCATTATGTTTGGAGGAAAAAGATGGCATCATGAGAAAGGAAAATTATGTGGATATATTGAAGCAACATCTCAAGACATCAGTCAGGAAGTAAAAGATTGGTCGCAAATGGGTCTTCCAAATAGACAATGACCCCAAGCATACTTCCAAAGTTGTGGCAAAATGGCTTAAGAACAACAAAGTCAAGGTACTGGAGTGGCCATCACAAAGCCCTGACCTCAATCCTATAGAAAATTTGTGTCCAGAACAATAAAAGCATGTGCGAGCAAGGAGGCCTACAAACCTGACTCAGTTACACCAGCTCTGTCAGGAGGAATGGGCCAAAATTCACCCAACTTATTGTGGGAAGCTTGTGGAAGGCTACCCAAAACGTTTGACCCAAGTTAAACAATTTAAA